TTTATTTACAATATAAAACCATGTAAAAAATACCTGAAATCAGGGGACCCAGTAAGGATTTTCGCGGGGGGGGCCCGAAATTTGTCGCTACGCCACTGTAGGTATAATGCCACTTTTTGCTTTTTATAAAGCCAAATCACAGAATTTTGTAAGCTTAACCTAGGCTATGTACCTAATGATTTAGAAAAATTTGATATAACCTAAATTCTATTTAGTTGACAATTCCTATCATACGTGGACGTATTAATTTCTGTTCTACGATGTCTATGGTATCATATATTTTAAATTCCCCCACTTATGAACTGACTATGCACATACGATAAAATAATACGCCAAATCAGAAAATTTACCCTGAAAAAAGGGAACAAGGTCATCTATTTATACAAAATATAGCGAATAAGCGGTATATCCCTTGTCAAAAAACCTATAAACACTATGCATGGTGTTCTATAGTGTACCTAAAGTGTTTTATAGTTTTAGCTTAGTGTTCTTGTGGTGTTGAATTGTGTGTTTATAGTGTTGTCAAGTGTTTTAGTAGTGTTCACTAGTGTGTTTATAGTGTCATTAATTGTGAAAGTCAGTTTATAGTGTTTAGAGAACACTACTGTTAACTATTGTGATAAATATCCACACCGTAGTGTTTGGAGCAGAGGTCGGCAAAAAGATTTTTTTTTGTAATATTTTTGTTTATTTTTAATTTTTTTTCAATATTTTAAAATGACAGCCGATATTTTTAATTTTTCTGGTAATTAAATTTAACCTCAAGGTGATCAAGTGATAAAATTTTGCATTACGATAAAAATCAAAACATTGTCAAATGAAGATAAAATTTAAAATTTTGCATAAATTTTGATTAGGTATTATAAAAAAAATATTTTTATAGGAGATAATTTTAAAGTTTCGAAGAAATTGAAACATAATTTGATGAAATTATATTAATAAAAAATTATACAAAAAAATTTAATTTTAATTTTAGCCGACCTCTGATTGAACAAAAAAATACATTTTTAAAATATTTTTTAGCTTTAAGGTAATAATAAATAAATAAAATAAATAAAATAAATAAAATAAATAAAATAAATAAAATAAATAAAATAAATAAAATAAATAAAATAAATAAAATAAATAAAATAAATAAAATAAATAAAATAAATAAAATAAATAAAATAAATAAAATAAATAAAATAAATAAAATAAATAAAATAAATAAAATAAATAAAATAAATAAAATAAATAAAATAAATAAAATAAATAAAATAAATAAAATAAATAAAATAAATAAAATAAATAAAATAAATAAAATAAATAAAATAAATAAAATAAATAAAATAAATAAAATAAATAAAATAAATAAAATAAATAAAATAAATAAAATAAATAAAATAAATAAAATAAATAAAATAAATAAAATAAATAAAATAAATAAAATAAATAAAATAAATAAAATAAATAAAATAAATAAAATAAATAAAATTTATTATACAACATTGGAACTACCTTCTTTATCTCTGGGAACTACTAGAATGTGTCAGTTTGTGCGGGAAATTCAAAATTTCAGTGTAGCCAACGTAATATAATTGAATGTTCCCAATAGGGAATTTTATTTTTTTACCATTGGCAACATCGACCGCATTCCTTGCATATGGTCAATTGTCGCAGATCGCAGAACATAAGCTTGCGCAAAGCACCCAGCTAACAAAACAATTTCTCGAGATAACGTCGAATTTATGCGTCGAGACGACGGAAAGAGAGGTCTAATCTTAATAGATGGGAAACATCCCAATTATGAATTCGGATTCAGCACTTTTTTTAGGCCTGTGTAATTTTTAATCTAGAACTGGTATGAGTGGGCACCATGATTTTGAAAAACAAGTCGGAGTTCACTGGAAAAGATGTGTAATCAATTTTTATATCTCTGATTTTATTTAGGGTCTTGAGGGGGCGGTTGTAAAGGATGAACTAACAAATTTAATACAAGGTATTGAACCACTTTTTTTAAATAATAAAAATGAGGGTAAGTCTAAGCAGACCTAAGGGCCCCATTTTATTTTGCCGCCCCGTGCCCCCGACGGTTTTAGTCCTATACTGCCTATAGGTATAATATACTCCTAATATTTAATATACCTTTATAAACTAGCTACCTACCTACTTATAAAGGTATTTTTAAAGCAAAATAGTATTTTATATAAGAATATAGGTACTTTATAAAGATAGGTAAAGTGGTGGACTCGGAATTTCGAACGACATAATTTGGTTTTCCTTGTGTGATTCTGTAAATACCAAAGATACAATCAGGGCCGGATTTAGAATGGGGCCAGCAGGGCCACGGCCCAAGGGCCCCCACCAATGCAATTTGTAGCTTTTTAATGAAACGAATATGAAAAAAATTGGCGAAATAACAAAAAATTGGGTCGGTTATACCGCGCGAATCCTGTAATTTTCAATTAATTTTTCGTAGGTAGATCTAATTTTTCGCGGAATTTTTATCGCTTGCAAATCAGAATGTAAATTAAGTATCACACTCAAAGTTTTGGCGCGCGAAGACGTTTTTATATAGTTTATAGTCATACGTTATGACTCATAACAATTTTAAGCAGTTGCTCCTTTAGTGCTTGTGGTAACGTTTTTGAAAATACAGGCAAACAGTTAATTACTTATAATCTAATATTAAAGTAAGTTTTTGTCCCAGATTTTTATTGGTACATTGGAGTGTTGTGGAATATTTTCCGGTGATTCCGAAATACTGTTTCGTGCTTTTCTTTGGACAAAAGATTGTTTTATTGTTTGATTTTGTATGAAAAACAGACAAATAATACGACTTTTTATGCACTTTTTTCAGTTTGCGGTATGTATTAAAAATAAAAACAAAACATAGGTAGATCAATTTATATTTTACTTGAGTAATGTTATGTTCGTATTATTCAAAATATATAAAATATAAAGTACCTATATAAAAACACTTTCATTCACAATTCTATTCTACTATCTACGTTTCCCAGATAACATTTTCTGACTCACGGATAAAATGGAGTGAATGATTCACATAGTGAAAGCATTTATGCAGTCAAAGTGAATTCACGGAAACGATTCCGATTCTATTTTTAAATTCGGCGCGCTCTTCCTGTAGCAGGCGTTGTTTACCCGGTATAATCATAACCTCACTATTTTTAATTCTCTTTTTAGTTGGTTTGTTCTGTGATTATCACATTACGCTGGCATTTGGCTCGGCAAATAATATTAAATATTGATTTAATTAATTAATTTATGCTTATTATAGCGATAAGTATCTACTTAAAAGTTCATAAATATATATTTTGATACGAAGTCAATTGAAAAAAAATACATTTGTTTTCTGTTACTTAATTAAGTACCTAACAGAAAAAAAATGTATTTTTTTTTAAATACTATTTTTACTTGTAAAAAATTATTTTTATGAATAATATACATATTTTTTTAAATAAAATTTTAACTTTAACCTGGGTTGGAACATTTTGAAAATTGGTTTAGAAATCACCCATTAATGTTTTTTGCATTTGTTTTTATAAACTTTGCATGTACAGTATTTTATCTCTTCATCGGAAGCCTTGTATTCCTGATCTGCGCTATAACAAAGAAATATCTTTGTATAGAGATAAAAATTAATATTTTTTTACTTGGTTACTTAAGTAAGATCCTAATAATTATTAGGTTCTTAATTAAATTAGGCAAGTAAAAAATACTTAATTTTTATCTGTTTAGGAAGATACACCTTCATTATAGCTTTATTTGTTATTAATTAATTAATATATATTAACATTTGGTTTGTAACATAATTTGTACTTAAAATAAAATGAAAAATAATAATACAACCTTGATTTTTTGACATCTATAAATTAAAAATCCCGCCATATTTAAAAATCGTATGCGCATGCGCAAGTTTCTTTTAACGAAATTCATTTATATGCATCCATTCTGCACTCACTATGAATACACAATAGGATGCTAAAATGAGCTCATAATTTTACTTGAGTGAATGCATATATGCATCCATAATGATTTCACTAATGTTATCTAAAATTTTATAGTTTTGCTTACGAATTTATAATTTCTCAAACTTGGGTAAAATGTATATATCGGTATATATACAATGTGTATTATACATATATATTATACATATATAACATATATAATATAACCTTATAACCTTATATATAAGGTTTATGTTTCATTTATTCAAAATATACAGGGTGATGTGGAATGTGAAAAAAGTTCCTATAAACATGTGTCCGAAAATACCTCATTATCGAGATACAGGGTGTTTCGTTTAAAAAAAAAGAGTTTTTTTATTTATAACGCTTTGGCCGATTTTATTAAAATTTATATGGTTTATTAAATAATAAATGATTCAAGGATAATAAAAAATCATGTAAAGTTCCTCTAGCTTAAAAATTTACCATGAGTTTTAATTTCCCAAGTTTTTAGAAATATTGAGGGTCCCCACCAAATGTCGGCCCCGGGGCCTCAAAACTCTTAATCCGGCTCTGGATACAATAATGACCATATTTGCTTTCGCTGTCAAAATGACAAGAATAGTAATAACCGCAAGAGTTTTCCCTTTAGACAAAGATTAAATATACTCTTAGTATATTTAATCTTTGCTTTAGATTTAAATGTCAACGGTCGTTCGAAATTCCGTGTCTACCACTGTACATGCTTGATAACAGCTGATAAAAACATGAAACGTGGCCAGGGATTAATTTTAAGTATTTACCTATTGCATTACAGGAATCACCAACCCAGTTTATTAAAATTTAATTAAAATAAAAACTATAACATTTTACAAATCTTGTACATATAATACCTACTCAATTAACGTTTCAGTTTAGTTTAATTCAATTAAGCGTTCACCGGTATTTTCAAGAGATTCTTAAAAATCTGTATATGTAAAGTTACCTAAATTACTTTCTACAAGATATTATATATAGGTAGGTATATACAATTTGCTAAATAATTGTACTTACCTACCAATTATAAAATAATCCACTGATTCGTCTGGAAACTATAGCACAAAGTAATACACAACCACCTGCAAACACCTATATCATTTGTGACAAATATTTAAAGTACCTGTTGTCCATGCAGTGTTGCCAGGTGAAGCAAAAAAAAGTGGTACCAAGTTCTTATTTAATATAGTTGAATTTTTAAGTCATGAGCCCTACGGCAACAATGTCAAGCAACTGATTCAAATCAAAGGCAAAATCAGTGGCGTATCGTGGAGTTTTATTTGGGGTTCGAAATGTTGTATACGTATGCAGTCCATTATACACATAGAAAAAGGATATACACGTTTGTGCTTTGGGTTGCGAATCAAAATATGAGAATCGTATTTTGCATGGCTTAAACCATATTATGATTCGTTTTAACTTAAATCCTTTATTTGAACTTGCAAATTTATTAAAACAATAACTCTTATGTAATTATATTATTAAATGAAACGTTGTAATTTATATATATATATTAAATTATTGTAATTTTAAATTATATACTTTGCGTTACCCATTCTGCGTGGAGAAAATTAAGGGTACCTACCTATTCTACTACTAAAAAATTCCCTATACTTTGCAAATTTTCAAAATATTTATGTTAATTAATTTAGAAATATTAATATTTGTATAATGCACAATGGTTAAGATATTATTTTATATAATCATTTAGTGCACACACCAATAAGCTCAAATGGGACGTCTAATTTTTGTTTAATAGTAAAATGCAATATATTATTATTAAATTATTTAATAATTTAATGATAAATGCTCTTAACTGCATTAAAAGGATCTATTTTCATCTATTAATATGTTAATATTTATATATAAGATATCTTAATCGCTATCATCTTCCGATTCATCGTCGTTGACGTTACCAATGTGGATTATCATTTCATGACCATGATCATCGTCCAAGATTCTTTCTTTATTGTACCATTCCTCTATAATTTTTTCAGTGTGTGCTATTTTTGACTTCCATGATTCTGGAGTAACTTTTTGTAATGCCCGTTCCCACATAGTAAGCACTTTATCATTGCCATAGCCATCTTCACCACTATGTTTATTATAATAATCCTTTGCATCGGCCCATACCATTTCAATTGCGTTAAATTGACAATGTAAAAGGCTTCAAGTCCATTTTCTTGTAGCAATTCATCAACCTTATATCGTATTGGTTTTTTATGTTTCTTGGCTAAATTTAAAAGTTCTACTTTAAACATATCATTATTTAATGGTATATTATTTTCTTCCAACCATTCCTTAATTTTGTTTTTAGTCCATAAAACCGTTGGTTGTTTTTCCATTTTAAAAGACGCTATGGTAAGACGCGTTGTCCATTATAATTAGAAAAGGATCCTGTAAATTTGGGATGAATTGTTCTGGCAACCATTTCAAAAAAATTTCTGAGTTCATATCACCATGATAATCCGCCAGTTTGGACCTCGTGGAGTAAACCAATGCGGCATCGCGAATAAAACCTTTTTCATTACCAACATGCAACACAATGAAACGTTTTCCATCATAACCTTCTGGTTTGCGTACACTTTTTGTGGATGAGTCTTGCCAGGATCTTGTATGGCTTCCTTTAGCAAATATCCAAGTTTCATCTAAATTTAAATAAGCAAATTATGGAAAATACTAAAAAATTCAAGTACACCAATGATGACAGGCTGTCAACGTTTTGTAGACATTTGTGCATTTAGCTATCTTTGTCGATCCCATTATTATAAAAATATAAAAATAAAGAACGTATGTTGTGGTATTATTAGACATACAGTAGAAACCACTAATATATGAACGTGACTCATCGGGTGCCGAACATATCTCAGACATGCTAGCAGTAATGTTTTACTTGTCATGTACATTAGATGCAGCGGTAAATGTACTCACACGTAGGTTTTTAAGCATCCGGTCTAAAATGCGCCATCTGTGATGTAAAACTGCCTAGGTGTTGGACAAAGATGGACATATGACGGGTGTCCTAGCTTGTTACTTATATTCAGTAGAGTTCGTGTTTTAGGCATTTATTTTATTTTATTACATAGTAAGGCAACCAACTTTACCGTCGGCCATTTGTTTTTATATGTCATATGATCTTTATTTTTGCATATCGTGTTTCTACTGTGTGTTTACGGATTAATAATCGTTTTAAACGTTGTAGTGGCAGTGGTTTATATTATGTAACACAAGTAGATGTATAAAAATCCTTACCTAGAAATTCTAGGCTAGAATACAAAAATATTTTTATTATATAAATTTTGTACCAGTATTAACTAATTAGTTTAATACATTCTGAAGAAGCTACTGTGTAGCGAAACAATTGTCAATATTTAATAAATTTCGTGAAACTAACGCAAGTTGTTTTTATATCCACACAATTTAAATATCTTTCACTTTGTACCTGACCTGCGTAAACATTTTTGTTTTTTGTCATTTGAAATATTTGCGTTTACAGTTAAAAGAATAGTATATTCTGTAACAAGTTTGACGGTTTCACGAGAGGGGAATATGCAATTCGAAACGTGTTTCAGACTACTTATACTAAGAATTTAATTGGAAGAAAGTGAGGTTGGATCGGTCTAAAAATTTGTTATTAAAATCAGAGATGTCGCCACGAGTCTACGTTCTGTCATCAGATAGAATATTTCATTAAAGTTAAAAGAAAAGTTTATTTATTAATTACCCAGATAACATTAGTGAAATCATTATGGATGCATATATGCATTCACTCAAGTAAAATTATGAGCTCATTTTAGCATCCTATTGTGTATTCATAGTGAGTGCAGAATGGATGCATATAAATGAATTTCGTTAAAAGAAACTTGCGCATGCGCATACGATTTTTAAATATGGCGGGATTTTTAATTTATAGATGTCAAAAAATCAAGGTTGTATTATTATTTTTCATTTTATTTTAAGTACAAATTATGTTACAAACCAAATGTTAATATATATTAATTAATTAATAACAAATAAAGCTATAATGAAGGTGTATCTTCCTAAACAGATAAAAATTAAGTATTTTTTACTTGCCTAATTTAATTAAGAACCTAATAATTATTAGGATCTTACTTAAGTAACCAAGTAAAAAAATATTAATTTTTATCTCTATACAAAGATATTTCTTTGTTATAGCGCAGATCAGGAATACAAGGCTTCCGATGAAGAGATAAAATACTGTACATGCAAAGTTTATAAAAACAAATGCAAAAAACATTAATGGGTGATTTCTAAACCAATTTTCAAAATGTTCCAACCCAGGTTAAAGTTAAAATTTTATTTAAAAAAATATGTATATTATTCATAAAAATAATTTTTTACAAGTAAAAATAGTATTTAAAAAAAAATACATTTTTTTTCTGTTACTTAATTAAGTAACAGAAAACAAATGTATTTTTTTTCAATTGACTTCGTATCAAAATATATATTTATGAACTTTTAAGTAGATACTTATCGCTATAATAAGCATAAATTAATTAATTAAATCAATATTTAATATTATTTGCCGAGCCAAATGCCAGCGTAATGTGATAATCACAGAACAAACCAACTAAAAAGAGAATTAAAAATAGTGAGGTTATGATTATACCGGGTAAACAACGCCTGCTACAGGAAGAGCGCGCCGAATTTAAAAATAGAATCGGAATCGTTTCCGTGAATTCACTTTGACTGCATAAATGCTTTCACTATGTGAATCATTCACTCCATTTTATCCGTGAGTCAGAAAATGTTATCTGGGTAGTTTCTAAGAAAATTACATTTTATTTAATTATCGTAGATGTTAATTATGTTAGATGTTAATTATTTAACTTTAAAAGCAAATATATCATAAGTATAGCAACCAACATTACACTCAAGATATTTTACAAACAGGACACCACTGGACCGTGACCTTCGATAGATAGCTTCGTACGAATGTGTCGGATGAGTCACGTTCATATATTAGTGGTTTCTACTGTACGTTTATCTATCGCTATATGCTACGTCCCAGTGGTCCTGCGGCGTGGAAATACAATACGAATGTCTGAGCTATATCCTTACATATGTCACGTGAGGGTCATGATTAAAAAACCAAACTATATTAATTAATTAACGGTAGGTAGACACAAGTTCTCTGTTATAAAATGGTAACATTTTGTTCTTAAAAGTACAAATTTTGCATTTAAATCCAAACTCTCCAATAGTCTAGTGACTCTAGTCCAACAGTCTTGATCGTTTATTATTCTTAAACTGTCAAAACACAGAAGTTCTGTGGCAGAACCAGGCGCAGATCCAGGATTTCGTTAAGGGGGGTCAGTTTTTGTCTGATTTTACATATTTTTCAGAAATTTCGTTTTAAACAACATTTTCCATGTACTGTAATAGGTACTTGCATAAATATTGCTATTTCTTTCTTAAAAAAATATAAAATAAAAACACATATGTAGGTATAGAAACAAAATAACAAAAACAAATTTGTTCAAAATTCAGTGCTTCGGTCGTGAGTCAGGGGGGGCAATTGCACCTATTGCCCCCCTGTATCCGCGTCTAGACACAACACCTACTAGAATATGTAGTATAATCCTATAGGTTTTGACTAAGTATAGGTACCTTATTTAGAAATTCAGGGAATTCCTGAACAACATTTATCGGTTGGGCCGCGCAAGTTTCGCGCTTCTCCGGTTCGATATCACAAACATTTAATAGAGGGCACAGAAAAATGTAATTTGTCCTGCCTACCTAGGTAGAAAAGACAAATTAAATTGGAATCCATAGTTCGATTTTGTCCTTCATGTGTATGCACTATACTGCATCCCATTCTCAGCTCTGGGCCATAGCTCGATGAAAAAGTATGAAACAGCTGACTTTGACCCAGGATGGACAAAATTGGATTCCGGGTATAGAAATATACCTGTATTATTGAACAATATCGCAGGCTTTGACCTTTTAGCGAGGTATTTTGTGATTTGTACAAAAGATTTAGTGGATGTTCCAAGATTAAAAAATTCACGTGTCTATGGGTGGATGGCTTCGTGAAACGCACATACGTTAAAACTTGCTTCTGGTCAAAGTGGTACATTGAAACCGAGACCATTAAGGCCTTTGGCCACCAAGGAAGAAGAAGAAGAATCCATAATATACCGAGGTGCTTGTTTATATAACAACAAAGTCTAAGTCTAAGAATTAAAG